CAAACCCTGGTATCTGTTCGACAACATCATTATTTAGGTGTTTTGCTGTCTAGTGATCTGCGGTGGAACACTCATGTGGACAAGATTGCTAAAAAGGGGAACTCTTCACTTGCGTTTGTGAAAAGGAACTTGTATGCCTGCTCTGAAGAAACTAAACGTGCAGCTTATGTATCACTTGTCAGGCCACATTTAGAGTATGCGTCTGCAGTATGGGATCCTTATAGACAGAATCAAGTGGAGAAACTAGAAGCTATCCAAAGTCGCGCAGTGAGATTTATTAAACATGATTATAGTTATAACACTAGCGTGTCCAATTTGAAGAAATCCCTATCTTTGGATTTACTAAGCGAGAGAAGAAAATCCCATCGTTTACAAATTTTCCATAAATCTGTGAACAATAGTATTGCTTTGCCTATCCCGTCTTATTATCAATTGTCTATTAGGAAAACTAGAAATTACTCGACGAATTCATTTATTCAACCACCTGTACATCATGACTACTACAAGTATAGTTTCTTTCCGAGAACTATAAGGGACTGGAACTGTTTATCACCTGGAACTAGATCACTTAATTATTCAGCTTTTTGCAGTACAGAATTTTTTTTTAAGTTTAAGCATAGCTATATTGTTAATTACATATTTTATTTATTTATTATTTATATTAGCTATGTTTATATTTTTATATTTTTATTCTTTTATCTCTTCTTGATGTGTAATAGCGTTGAAGAGTAATAAAGTAGATGTAGATGTAGATGTAGAGCAGAGAAAATGCGATAAAAATCACCAGCTTCTAGAGCGCCGTCTTGACCGCCATCTTGAAATTCGATTCAATCGACGAGACACGTATTGAGCCATCCCCAATAGAGACTTCACCTCGCTGACACTTTCTGGTTCGCTCATGTTGGTGATCGCCTTGATCTTGGCTGGGTCTGCCTTGACTCCATTCTTGCTGAAAATCTGTCCGTAGAACTTGATCTCACTCTTCGAGAAGGTGCATTTCTCATTGTTCAGGCGCACGCTATGTTGCTGGAGCCGTTCCAGTACGCCACGGAGGTTCTCATCGTGTTCCTTCTGACTTTTTCCATAGACGATAATATTGTCGGAGACATTCTTTCATCCAGGGAGGCCTGTGGGTATTTCTTCGATTGCGTTCTGAAAGATTTCGGATGCTGCGTTAATTCCAAACATGAGGCGCTTGTATCTTCGGAGTCCGACGTGGGTGCTGAATGTGGGAATATAACGGCTCTCTGGCGCCAGCTTCAGTTGATGGTATCCAGACGAAAGGTCTAACTTGCTAAAAACTGTCGCTGTGTTGAGTTCGGCAACCAGATCGTCTATGGTCGGCATCAAGTGTTTTTCTCGTTTAATACCCTGGTTGGCCTCTCGCATGTCTACACATATTCTCACTTGACCAGAGCTCTTGGGGACTATGACGATAGGGCTCACCCAGGGCGATGGGCCTATCACGGTCTCGATGATGTCTAGCTCTTCTAATCGCTTTAACTCCATCTCGACATCCTTTCTGACGTGGAAGGGAATTCGACGGTGCGGTTGTTGCTTGGGTTTGACGTCAGGGGTCTATGTGAAGCTTGATGACTTTTCCTTTCACTTTGCCGATTCCACCGAACAGGCTTTCCAAAACTCCGTTAACGGGGGACTGGGGACCGGTCTCGTCAGGTTTGACTTGGTTGATGATCTTGAGCACACCGAGTTTTGTAGCAGTGTTAAAACCCAGGAGGTTTCCTGAAGCGCCTTTGATGACATGCAGGGTCGTCTATGTGCAGTTGGCGTTGGCGAATATTTCGGCCTCGATAGTTCCCAGAACAGGTAGCGGTGTGGATGACCCGTAGGAGAAAATTCTGCGCTTGGAGGCTTCTGGCACCTTCCGTTTGTATAACTCCCTGAAAGTGCGTTCGTCTATGAGATCGACCGATGCACCGGAGTCGACCATCATTTCCACTTGTTTTCCATCGATCTTGACTTTGCAAGTTGGTTGCTTGTCACCGCCTATTGTGTAAACGTATTCGTCATTTTCAGTCGTGTCTTCATACGTGACATGTTTTGCTGACTCGGGTGGATTTGTTCTGCAAACACGGGCAAAATGGTTTAGTTTGCCACTCGAGTTGCACTTCTTGTTCTTCGCAGGGCACGAGTCTGTGAGGGTATGGTTCACCACAGTTCCTACATTTAATATCCTCTTTTCGGGAGTTGCTGCGATTGCGTGACTCATAGCGAGTGCGTGACTCCTGACGATTTTGTTGATGGTGCTGTTTCCCTTTGAAATGCCTTGGGGCTCCTTTCTTGTAAAAATTTACCGCGTTTACGGTTTGATCGTTATTCTCTAACTCCTTTGCTTGTATTTCGCTTAATTCTAAAGCTCTACCAGCTTTCATAGGGCCAGATAAATCGAGATATTCTCGCAGAGCTTTGCGCCGTAGGGAATTTGACTTGCAGTTCAAAATTCAGTATCTGTTCTTTGATTTCTTTGTCTGGATTTGCGAAATCATAGGTCTTCGCCAGGCTTCGTAGGCGTGTGTGGAAACAGTCAAAGGTTTCTCCATCCTTTTGCTTGGCTTGCCGGAAATTGTACACTTCGTACGTTACGTTGACTTGCGGAGTGAAGTGAGCGGTTAGTTTCTCTACGGCCTTTTTGTAATCTTTGTCTTCACCGACGTCTTGAAGCGTGTCCAAGATCTCGTCGACCTCTGGACCGCCGTAGTGAAGCAAAAGGGCTCTTTTCTGCTTGTCATCGGAAATTCCCATTCTAATAGTAAGTCTCTCAAATCTTCCTAGCCATTTCTTCCATGTTGGGCCTGCACTTCCATCGAGGTGAACTTCAAACGGTGGGAAGTTTGGTAGAGAAATCGCCATGATATTTTCGCGGGAAAATGCTTCGGAAATCTATTCAGAAATTGCTTTGGATATTTCTTTGGAAATCGCATCGGAAATCCCTTCAGATCCTTTTAAAACACTTTGTGTATGTTCTTTGCTTGATCCTCGTCGCCAGATGTGGTGTTTATTCTTAAATAACCACTGAGGCTTTCGATGCAACGCAACGATATTTAATGAACATGTGAAACCATAACCGACTACATCTGAAACTGTTCTCCTTTAGACCGCGTGTGCAATCACACATACTGATTGACAGCTGTCAGAAACACTACACGTAGTATCTACGACTTCACAGAAGGCTGTAGATACAAAAATGAGTTAAGATATGGGATATCGGATCAAAATCGGCAGAGTTCGTTGTGGGCTCGGATTCTATTGTTACTCCCACTCGCTCACTCTCGGATTCTCTTGTTACCATCACTCAACAGGACAGCATAGAAGCTTACGCCTCTTCTAGAGGAAGTAAGCTACAAAAACGAAAATATTATCCATGCTTGTACTGGGTACTTTTTGAAAATCCAAAAATTAATTGGCAGAGAAATAAAACAATCTCTGCTAATAGCAATTTCAATTAGCTCCCGCAAAACACGAAAAATCGCCTTAAAGATTTTTGGCTACTCAGTACCTTAAAAGTCTCAGGGAGGTGAATCTCAAGTGCTAGTTTCTTTACTTTTTATGCCTCGTTTTTTTACAAAATCACAGAATGAGGAGGCTATTTAGTTAGACGTCTGACCCTTTGTGTTCCTACAGAATGCGTCTCGCCTCACAAATTTTGCAGGATCTTTTCGTACAACCGCCCCTCCCATGCACTATTCTATTACGTTTCCAGGCAACAATGATTCGCGAAACAAAATTTCGCGTAGTGCGAACAGGCCCTAACTCAAAATCAATGTGCTTTTTTCTTAGTTTGTTTGTTTGTTTTCAAAATATAAAAAAATTGGAATTCCTGTTAACGTCTACGTAATGCGTTTTCAATAAAAAAGAATGGCTCAGTAACTACGTCTTGAACAATGTGGACGAGCACCCATCTGGATACAAAATAATGCTAACGTATTATCAGGCAAATATGATAAAAGAACAATTCACGACTGAGAAATGATTCAAGTCGTAGAATATATGGTAAGTGGACTTTTCTCGGTCAGGCGATGAACGGGATTCATACCTGAGTAATGATACCACTGATATTCAGCTTCCAGGCTTTGAAAACTACGTCTGACCCTTTGTGTTCTAAAAGAATGCGTTTCGAAATCAATGTGTATCTCACGCACGATTCTTTGGAACAAAGTGTGCTCTGCCTGAAATCCGATCCGTCAGGCGACAACTACTTTGTTTCGACTCGGAAACCACATAGACTCAAAACCTTGGTCTGTATATATTAAAATATAAAGTATTTCGAGCTTGTAAGTCGCTTTACCGATCTTGAGAAAATAGCCGATTGTTTTGTAGTCTAGAGACATCCAGTGATTTTCCGAAATGTCATCATCTGAGACAATCTAAGCTGGACAAAAAACACCTTTAGTCCACTTATCACGAAGCAATCTAGGCCTTTGCGCTTATATAAACAATTCGCTTGAAATTAAATCACCGATAGAATCGAAAATAAAGACGTGCAACCAGCTGAAAAAGTGCAGAGCAGCTGCCAGCTAGCGCTCCCCCAACAGGTGTGTAGTTACTATTAAAAAAAAGACTCCGAAACTGCGTAGCACGAAATTTACAGTGAATAGCAATCCAACTTAACAGAATCATCATTTGAATTCGAAAATTATATTAAAGAAATCTTTGTGGTGTTTGTAAAGAATAATTGGCAAAGAGGCAAAACACACTGGCTTAGCGTTGAAACTTTGAAAGCGGTTTGATTTCGCATCGAACTTGACCTGACGTTTAAACTCTACGCGCACTAAGATACTCTCGGCACTCACGTAGTCCCTAGCTCGCTAACCCACCCAGTCACTCACTCATCTCGACAACACATGTGGCTTCGTCTCAGAAAGGAGGTAGTAGCCACAAAAAAAGAGGGAAACGGTGTAATGCCTCAAACCACGTTAATAATATCATGGACTAGATCAAGACAAACGAGTTATAGAGCGTTTGTTTAATTGTTTTGATAG